ATATGGTTCACAATCACAACACACCCTTAAGATCAGAAATACAAACAAAGCCTTGCCCCCTCCACACCCACATGCACACACATATGCTATACACATACCAAGTTGCTCTGCGAGGAGCCTGCCCTTCTCAGTGGGAACGACCCTCTCTTCCTCCATGTCACACTTATTCCCCACCAGGATGACCTGTGCATTGTCCCAAGAGTAGGTCTTAATCTGAGTAGCCCTAAAGAAAGACAGAGAAAAGACTGTGTTAGCAAGAAAGGGACCTGTGAAAATTAAAAAAAGCTATTCTCCTTCCTGTGGGATAGCAACACTCAAGTTGTTGTTATTAGTTGCCATCAAATTGCTTCTAACTCATGGCAACTTCATGTATAACAGAATGAAAGGTTGCCCAGTCTCGTGCCATCTTTGTGAAGATGGCAACACTCAAGTCACTACCAATGAATTCAACTGAGCAAACAGACCTGCACTTATTAGTTGTCACAGATGCTGACCCTCAAGCCCTGGTGGTACACCTCCCCCACCTCTTTGGAGTTGTCATCTAATGTGCCTGCCACTCCTCACTGGGCAGAGCTCTCTTTCTAAAACTTAAATCTGATCATGATATTAAAAAAAAAGAAGAAGAAGAAAAGAAAAGCAAACTCAAGTTGATTCTGCCTCTTAGTGATCCCCATTGGGTTTCCAAGGGTGTAAATCTTTGTGGAAGTAGGTTACCCTACTCTTCCTTTTACAGAGCAGCTGGCGGGTTTGAACCACTGACCTTCTGGTTAGCAGCCAAATGCCTTATCCACTAGGCTACCAGAGCCCCCTGCTTAGAAGCCTTCTCTGGCTCCCAGCTAGCTCCATGATAAAGTCCAGATCCTTCATACAGACACTCAAGACCATTTATATCTTTAGCTTCATCACCCTTCCTCCCACCTCACAAACCTTCTTACCGATTCCCTGAATGCTCTTTTATGACTTGTGTCTTTGCCTAAACTGGGAATCCCTTCTTCATTCCTAACTCATCCTCCAAGTTCCTGATACTACAATTTCTTTATTATTATTATTATTATTTTTTAAGAGCTTGTTTTCCATTCAAAGCCACATGTACATTTAGTTTCATTCCCCATTCACCATGTCCAACCCCAACCCAGCCTCCTCCCCTCCCTACCCTTCAACACTCCCCCTGTGCCCCTCATAATCATACATTCCTGTTTGTCCTGCATTTCCTCAGTTTGAACGTTGGTCCTTTGGTGTCCCATGGTTTATTGCTTTAGGGGATGCATTACCATTGAGTGTGCGGGTGCAGCATCCTGGGTTGAGTGGTCTGGTGTACATCTCGCTAACCATTGGGCTGAGAGCCCACCCCTGGAGGTCAGTTTTATTCCAGGCACTGAATGTATTTCAGGGCCATAGTATTGGGAGTCTCACCAGACTTCCTCTGTAATTCTGGTCATTATTGAGTTTTTGGATTTTGTTCCACGTTTTCCCTCTCACTCTGTCCAGGATCTCCAGATTTGATCCTTTCCTGAGTGGTTGGCATTGGTAGCCAAGCACCATCTGGTTCTTCTGGGTCTCGAGGGCCATCATGTCTTAGGGTTAATTGCTTCTAAATGCTGCCCCCCCTTTTTTTGTGCGTTCTTCTTCACTTCTGACGCTGGGAAACCATTAGCTGCATCCTAGATGGTGATCCCACAATTTCTTGAGGGGGCCTTCTCAAACTTTCCAAGGTCCACTTATCCTCTCTGTCCTCCTCTGTGATTCACAAATCTTTGTTGAGGTCTTAGATCATGATTATTTGTAGAAACCAAAATGTCAGCACTGGTTTCCTCCACATAAGATGGTTATAAAACTTTTTAAAAATACTTTTCCATACTTTTCAAATTCTTGAGAATTAACATGCATTATTTCTATAATTAGAGACAAAATCTTAACAGAGAAAAAATAATAGAGCCCTGTGTTGCAGAGCCATTTTTTGTGGGAATGAGCCTAATTCTGTCCCCAACCACCAATCAAGCAGAAATTATTATTTCCCATGTTAGCCCCTGCACCTATTACACTTGGCTGAATTTATCTGTCTCTCCTCAGGGGTAGAGACAGGCCTATTGTTCTCTGGAATGCCAGTAGCCAGCACAGAACCTAGAGCAGAGAAGGTATCAGTGGATGATGAATTCAATGAACAATCAAATAGTTAATCCTGAAGCTCATCTTGAATCTGACTGTACCTGACACTGACACTTAATCTAATGCAACCCTAACTTCAATGTGGATCTATTTCTGACCCTGCTCCTAAAGCTGATCCTACCATCAACCTCCTCCCCTAAGGTAAAAACCTGTTCCTTCAAAGGACGGAATTCACGCAACCTCATTCATTATGAAAGGGCACTTGGGCTTAGATGGTAGGTAGGGACTAGACTGGGACTAAATTTCCCAGAGGCAAAAACTCAAAGGACAAGGTTTGGGAAAGATAGAAACTCAGTCTTCAGTCTCAAGGCACATAACTGGAGCCAACTCTCCATCTCTCCCCATGCTCGTCTTTCTGTCATCTTCCTCCCTCCTCCCACTCCATTCCCTCTCAGCTCCCAGATTAGCAACAAACTCAGGTTATTCTTGGTGAAATAGTCACCAGGTGTTAAAGTCACTGTGTTCCTGAACCAGAATGATTGGGGACTGATGGAAAAAGGGAAGAGAGTCAAGGCCAACAGGGAATGAGCAGTTTGGAGACACTTAAAGAAATGGCTAATCATCCCATGGTTGGGGAGAGGGGGGTGAAGAGAGGAAAGAAAGAATGAAGAGAGAGAAAGGAGAAGAGGGGAGTGAAAAATACAACTGGAGGGGAAAGAGAGAATAAGAAAGGGAAGCTCCTTGGGTTTCTGAGGCAGTATCTCTACAGAAGTAGATTGCCCAGTCTTTCTTTCAAGGAGTGGCTCATGGGTTTGAACCGCCAGCCTTCTGGTTAGCAGTCAAATGCCTTAGGCACTACCCCACCAGAGCTCCCAAGAAAGGGAAGACGGAAGAAAAAGAGGAGGAGTAAAATGGTGGGGAGAAGAAGGAGATGACCAAGAGGCAGACAAGGAGAACAAAGACCACCATGAATGACAGACATATGGATGGTTAGATATTAGTTAGAACAGGTAGCCTGCAAGGTCACTCCCAGCTCAAGGCTCCAAGACACCAACCATGCTTCATATAGTCACAGCAACTGCTCCTGGGGAGAGGAGAAGTCCTCAAAGTTTAGATGTTGGGCAAAGGGAACAAGCTTGGTGCTGGCCAGCCCTGCTGCTGCGTGCCTGGCCTCCTTAGCCTCTCGCTGATTCTGAAGACCAGCCACAGCACAGATGCTTTACCTTCTCCTACTCTCATCTTTTCCACTGATTAGGGGCACTGAGTCCTGGCCCCTCCTCTCATATGTCCTTCCCCTCACACTCCCTTTTCCCTGTGAGTTAAGCTCCAGGAAGAACAATGCAGGTTGCTTCCGAGGTTGTACCTCTGGAGTGCTGTGCTGATTTGCACTGCATATGGAATGTTTTTGAACTTGAACTGTATGTGCTCTTGGTCTCTCAGCCCAGCCCAAGGATAAACTTTACAGGGAAGTGGTATGTGGATTTGTGCTCTACTGTTGCCAGAGTGATCTTTCTCAATCATTAATAGGAACCTGTCAGTTTCCTGTTCAAATATCACTGCCTCTGGAATAGAATCCAAACTACTTATTCTGGCACATAAAATCCTTCACAATCTGTGCTCTTTCTTCCATCTCACCTGCCTTCTTACTTTTGCACATATGTATTCTTTTCCTGGAACATTCTTACTCACTCACCCCTATGGCTAACTGCTGTTCATCTTAAGAAATGCAGCATATGTGTCAGCAATTGCAGGATACCCTCTCTGACTCTCTGAGCTGGGTCAGAAACTCTTCTGCCTGCTTACTGAACTGTATTCTCCTCTCATCTTTGAACTCCTTAAAGGCAGGAGACATGTCTGATTTATCTTGGCTTCCATAGCACACAGCACAAGACCTAGGACATGTTAGGTTTTCATGAACAGTTTGATGAATGAATGAATGGAATTCATACCAGTCTTGGACAGCATTGAAGGACTCCTCATTGGTGATGTCATACATCAGAATGAAGCCCATGGCCCCACGGTAATAGGCTGTGGTAATAGTCCGGTACCTCTCCTGCCCAGCTGTGTCCTGGGTGGGAAAAGGATAGGGTTAGCCTTTTAGGAAGTTTTGCTTTGGTTCCTAAAAATCCTTAAGATAACTAAAAATTCAAATCACATTTAAGAAGCTCCTCTTATGTGTTTTGTATTGTGCTTGGTGACTAGAATAAAAATATTTTTAAATTCTCATAGAAATTAGTAAGAAACTAACTAAAATCCTAACAGAAAAATAGGTAAGAGGCATGAACAATTCACAGAAGATATGTAAAGAGATAACTGTTATATTAAAAAGTTTAACCTTACTTTTAATAATAGTTCCCATTATAGGTGAAGGAGCTTTGGTAGCATAGTGCCTAAGGCATTTGACTGCTAACTAGAGGGCTGGCCGTTCAAACCCACCAGCCACTCCTCAGAAGGAAGATTAGGCAAACTACTTCTGTAGAGACACTGCTCAGAAACCCAAGGAGGGGTCACAATGAATCAGATCCAACTCGACAGCAATGAGTTTGGTTTTTGTATTTTTTTTATATAGGTGAGGATGCAGTGAGATGTGCAACCTCACACCTTGCTTGAGGAAATGGAACTTGGTTCAACCTTTCTGGAAATCAATTTGGAAGTAAGGATCAAGAGCATTAAAAATGTCGCTACTCTTTGACCTAGAAATTTTCCTTGTAAAAATCTTTCTTAAAAATAGAAAATCAGACAAATATCTACGCACAAAAAAGTTTCTTATAGCTTTATTTAAACAGTAAAAAAGTACATCAACTTATAATTTCAACAAGGGTATAAATGAAGTGTAATACTATTCTGGACACCTAGTACCACTCTAACAGAAATACACCACAAATAGGGTGGCTTTAACAAACAGAAGTTTATTCTCTTACAGTTTGGAGGCTTTAAGTCTGAGTTCAAAGTGCCAGGCTGTAGAGACTGGGTGAAAGCCCCTCAGCCTTGGGCTTCAGCTCTCCCTCCTGCCCTGGCCCACTGAAGCTAGAGGCTTTTCTTCACTCAGACAGCTGCTGGCTGCTGAGGCTGACAAGCCCAAGACTGACAAGTAATAAGCATAGTCTCTTATGTTACCAAACCACATGACAGGCCACTCATTCAAGTCCACTGAAAGTCCCAAGGTCAGCAGAACATGGCAGGCTACATGTAGGGTTCAAGAGTGCCATAAGCTGGAGACCATTCCCACAGCTGTTTCTTAAATACAGGAAGCAGACCACATACCCAAAGGCAACTACTCAGCTGCTCCAATAGATTCCACCATGGAGTTAATTACCAATCTCACCATGGGAAATAACTACATCCAGCTGCCCAGCCACTCAACCATGCCCAGCCAAGTTGACACACCAACTTAACCTACACAAATACATTTAAATAAAATGTAGATACACACAAACGATTACATTTCATTTATGTAAGAATATTAATGGCACAGGACAATGTATGTGTAATATACTATCAATTTTGTAAATATATATGCAAAGAAGAAAAACACTGAAAGGTTAATACTCCTATGAAAGACAAGTTACTGGGATTTTTATTTTCTTCATGTATTTTCACATTCTTCACATAAATATGTACTATTGTTAGCTGCTGTTGAGTAGACTTTGACTCATGATGACCCATGTGTGCAGAGTAGAATTGCTCTACAGAGTTTTCAGAAACACATCACTAGACCAATCTTCTGAGATGGCTCTGTGTGCATTCGAACACCAACCTTTCTGCTAGTAGTCGAGTTCTTAACCATTAGTGCCACCCAGGGACTCGAACATGTATTACTCTCGTACAAGAAGAAATAAATATTTTACTGGGGGAAAAAAATGACTAAGACAATTTTTGATTTCACGCAGCTCACAGTACTATTTGAAAGACAAACATGTAAGCAAGCAAGCAAAGACAAGGCCAATAGCAAAGTGTTAGAGCACATGGGGTATTTCACAAATGTCCATACAGTGCTTATGTGAAAGTACTTTCACTGTTACAATCGGGTGTTTCATTACAGTGTTGGATTGTATGGTGCTTGGCTACATGTAAAACATTCCTCATAGATCACCTCATTTAAATTTTACGAAATCTCTGTTATGTAGGTATCATTATTGTTTACATTTTATAGTTAAGAATATAGAAATTCAGAGAGAGTGAGTGACTTTCCCAAAGTTGCAAAGCTGGTGACAAAAGCTATGTCTTAAATCCAGGACTTTAGATTCCAAGCCCAGTGCATACACCACTATACCTAAATCTATGAACGATTTATCCACAAGCATTTGTGATAATAAAAATAATGAAAATAATAATAACATGCCATTGTTTGTATATACATTGCACCCACTATCTGCAAACCTTTGAAATACCTGATAGGGTATATATTGCTACAAATGAGAAAATTGAGGTTCAGAGAAATTGCTCAATAAGTATCAGAATTGGGATTCCAAACAAATCTGGCTGACTTTTATACACTATACATTACACTATACTGCCTTAGCCATGAACTATATTTTGTGTGATATGAAATGGAACAAATACAATTTCTGCATTCAGGAAGCTTTAGTAGAGTTTTAGAGTTGGCTAAGACACACCCATGAATTTATAAATAGCAATCCAAACCAAAAATATCCACTGCCGTGGAGTCAATTCCAACTCATAGCAATCCTTAGGTCAGAGTAAAACTGCTCCATAAGGTTTCCAAGGCTGTAATCTTTACAGAAGCAGACTGGGTCATCTTTCTCCCATGGAGCAGCTGGTGGGTTTGAATTGCTGACCTTTTGGTTAGCATCCAAGTGCTTAAGCACTGTGCCACCAGGGCTCATCATAATTAGCAATAAACCAAACCAAATCCACTGCTGTCCAGTTCATTCCTACTCACAGCAACCCTATAGGACAGAGTAGAACTGCTCCACAAGGTTTGCAAGGCTGTAAATCTTTATGGAAGCAGACTGCCTCATCTTTCTCCCGTGAAGCAGATGGTGGGTTCAAACCACTAACCTTTTGGTTACCAGCCGAATGCTTTATTCACTGTGCCATCAGAGCTCCTTTAATTAACAATGTTGTTGTTAGGTGCCATCAAGTCAACTCCAACTCAGTGACCCCACGTATGACAGAACAAAACACTGCCCAGTCCTGTGCCATCATAACAATCTCTGCAGTGTTTGAGCCCATAGTGGCAGCCACTGTATCAATCCATCTCATTAAGGGTCTTCCTGTTTTTTTGCTGACCTTCTACTTTACCATGCGGGATATCTTCTCCAGGGAACGGTCCCTTCGGACAACCAAAGTAGGTGAGACAAAGTGTGGCCATTCTTGCTTCTAAGGTGCATTCCAGCTGCACTTCTTCCAGGGCAGATTTGTTCATTCTTCTGGCACTCCATGGTATTTTCAGTATTCACAATTCAAAGGCATAAATTCTTCTTCAGTCTTCCTTATTCATTGTCCAGCTTTCACATGCATATGTGGTGATTGAAAACACCATGGCTTGAGTTAGGCACACCTTAGTCTTCAAAGTGACAGCTTTCTCTTTAACACTTTAAAAAGTCCTTTTGCAGCAGATTTGCCTAGTGCAATACATCATCTAATTTCTTGACTGCTGCTTCCATGGGTGTTGATTGCAGATCCAAGTAAAATGAAATCCCTGACAACTTCAATCTTCATTCTAGCAATATGAGGCAATATATCATCATCGCTGGATAAGTGGTATAGAAAAAATGTACCAAATTAGTTCAGGTAACAGAGAAACATAGGGATTTGGGATAGTTATGTAAAGATACCAAGGAGTCCTGATAGCACAGTGGTTAAGCACTCAGCTGCTAACCCAAAGGTCGGTGGTTCGAACCCTCCAACCACCCTGAGTTCTGTGGGAAAAAGATGTGGCAGTCTGCCACAGTCAGCCTTGGAAACCTTATGGGGAAGTCCTACTCTGTCCTAAAGGGTCACAATGAGTTGACATTGACTCTGTGACAATGTTTTTTTTTTGTTTGTTTGTTTGTTTTTTTGATATGGAAGGTAACAGAGAAGAGATGGTGTATCAGTCAAGGTAGTCTGGTTTATAGTAACAAGTAATCTCAAAATCTCAGCAGCTTAAACAATAAGGTTTTATTTCTCTCTATTGCTACATATCCATTAAGGGTTGGTTGAGTACTCTGCAGGAAGACTGACAAAGCAGTTACCAGAGGGAAAGAGAATGCATGAGTCATGTGTTGGCTCTTAAAACTTCCACTGTTCCTATTTCACTGGACATAGTAAGACATGTGTCCACACTCAATTTCCAAGGAGCAAAGCAGTGCAATCCTATAGTTTGCCCAGGAGGAGAATCAGAATATCTCCCACAGACATCCTAAAGTCTCCCTCAGGTAGAGACTGAAATGAGCCCAGAAGCATCAGCTGGAGATGAAGATAAACTTATTTGGCAATACACCTTGTATTGGACGAGAGGAACTTTTCTAGAGAAGACTTTTGCAAGCAGAGAAGTAAAGGAAGGGTATTTTGGCAGAAGGAATATTTTTTTTTTGCCAGTGAGTACTCCAGAAGAACTTAAGGAATGGTGAGGAATGAGAAATGGGTAGGTCACGAAGCTAGAAAGAACTTTGAATACCATGCTATGGAGTTTGGATTTTATTTCTAGGATCAAAGATTTTGAGGCAGGGGGTTAACATCATCATCAAATGTGAGCTGTAGAAAAATCACGGTGGCTGTGATGTGGAGAATGGACTGGAGGGAGAATAGATGGGAATCAGGAAACTTGGTTAAGAAATCCTTGCAGTGGTTCAGATGAGACCCAATAAGGATGTTAACTAGAGAAGTAGCAATAGGGATGGAGCACAAACAGATTCAAGAATTTAAGAGGTCAAATTACAAGGCGTGAAGAGGTAAGAAATCAAAGAAAACAGTTATGTTTCTAGCAGGGCTCAGCTTTTCCACAACCACAGCGATTCAGCTTTGATTCAGATTTGTACACTCTTACTCAGCCAACCAAAACGTGCATTTAACACACATATCCTTGTTGGAGAGCAAATGAATCACTATCTCCCATTAGTT